CCCATTGTCCACTTTGTGTACCCTTACACACACACACTCACACACACTCACACCTCACACACCCATTGTCCACTTTGTGTACCCTTACACACACACACACTCACACCTCACACACCCATTGTCCACTTTGTGTACCCTTACACACACACACTCACACACTCACACCTCACACACCCATTGCCCACTTTGTGTACCCTTACACACATACTCTCACACAAACACACACACTCACACACACACACCCCCATTGTGCACTTTGTATGCTCTTTTTCTCTGACCTAATAAAATTGATTCTTCCTGACCAGTTGGATCAGACAGACAGGAGCCTCCCTGGTCGGAGCAGGTTTTGTTCAGAGTTGGGGTCGGGGCTCCTTTCCCTCAAGGGGAGAGAGAAGCGTCCCTTAAACTCGCTCCTTCTGGTAGCCAGGAGCAGCAGCCTGCAGGCTCTTCCTGCAGGTTCTTGAGGGAGAGGTGTGGAGGGACTAGACTGACTCAGTCTGTGCAAACACTCATCCATAGTCCCCCCTCCACCCCCGAGAAAAGACCCCAGGCGGGAGCAGCTCTGGACACGCATTTGTCCACCTTTTGCCTGAATGTCAGCTGCTTGCCTTGGTTCCCCTGGAGGGTCCTGCAGCCCCGGGGACGGCCGCCACTGTGCCCTGCAGCCCTGCCTACATTCCACCCTCACGCCCGTGTCTTCTTCCAGAAATGAGGAGCGAAGTAAGAAGCCAGGGACGCCGGGCACCCCCGGCTCCCACGACCTGGAGACCGCGCTGAGGAGGCTGTCCCTGCGCCGGGAGAACTACCTCTCGGAGAGGAGGTTCTTTGAGGAGGAGCAAGAGAGGAAGCTCCAGGAGCTGGCGGAGAAGGGCGAGCCCCGCAGCGGCTCCCTCACGCCCACCGAGAGCATCATGTCCCTGGGCACCCACTCCCGCTTCTCCGAGTTCACCGGCTTCTCCGGCATGTCCTTCAGCAGCCGCTCCTACCTGCCCGAGAAGCTGCAGATCGTGAAGCCGCTGGAAGGTGATCGCACGGGGCCTCGGTCCCTCTCCGTCCTCCTGGGCGACTCCCTGTGGTCCCTGATCCACCTGCGCAAGGCGGGGCACCTCTGTCACGCCTACTCCTTCTTCTTCCGCGACAGCCACCCGCGCTGCTGGTTTGAGTTCCTCTAGGGTGGCTCAGCCTAGACCCGGTGCCCCCGCTCCGGCTGGCAGGTGCGACAGCGCACACACAGGCCACGAGGCCTGCCAAGGAAAGACAGGCCCGTGCACTGTGGTCCTCTAGTTCTTCCCTTTGCTTTTAGAACCTTAGAGATAAAAACCTTTTGTAGCCGTAGCTGCACTGCTGACAGATTCAGAAATTCATTAGGTTTTGCCCGTGGGTGTGAGGAACACAGAGAATTAATGCTTTAGCATCTCCGGAGTTTTGGCGTCAGGGAGAGGTGCCAAGCACACTCTATTAAATGGAGATTTTTTTTCCTCCATAACCACCCAAACGTGATTTGTGGGCTTATGTGTTCTGAGTTGATCTTCATATAACAAGTTGTGGTTTTCGGCAGATGCAGTATGTTCTGAGCTCGGCTCCTAGAATCTACAGTTTGGAGCCCAGGAAGGGTGGCTGTGGAGACAAGTGAGTTTCCACCTCCTTAAGCCACTCTTTTCCAGGGGCAGCTCCTGTTTTGCTATCAGGGGCACCTCAGACGATGAAACTCGGAAAAACTTCTTCCCCCGCCCTCTCTCCCTCCCTCTGTTCCTCCCTCCTTTTTTTTTTCTTTTTTTTTTTTTTTTTTTTTTTTTTTTTTTTTTTTTTTTTTTTTTTTTTTTTTTTTTTTTTTTAAGTTTAGGCACTTACAAAATGTTTCCCCTCTACCTGATACTACCCTGTCAAGAGCCAGCAAGGGTTTCTGTTTTTCATTTTTTACCCCTTTAGTTTGAAAAGCCATATAAGTTTGAGAAGGTGTTTTAAAACTCTGTGTTAACACTTACGATACCAAGCCAAATTAGAACTTCTGTAAGGCAGCGTTTCCAGCTTTTTAAAAATTATTGTCCCAGCTAAGGAGCCTCCTTGGACATTTTTTGCTAATCACCCCCCATGAGGTTTTAATACCACGGATATATTGTTTATGTACTATACGTATGTCTACATACGGTATACATAAACAGTGTTTCCGTGGTGTGAAAACGAAAAAGAATCTAACCACGTTCACCTCAGAAGAACGTGTCTCTGCCCCCGGGAGCAGTGCTGCTCCTGTGAGAGCCGTGTGCTGTCAGGTACGCTTGTGCTTCTTGGAGACCCAAGACCTGACTGGGCTCCTTGGTCCCCAGAGGAAGAGGGCGGGCTGGTTTGTTTTTATTACTACTTTAAAATTGTATAATTGGGGTCCTTCTCAGAGTTCAGAAGAGGTGCGGCTTACTTTTTAATTGTTTATTTAGTTGTAAGCTTGGTGATTGTTTTCTGATTCACACTGTGTCTGTTCTTCTTTCAATAAAATCTTTCATTTCTGCAATTTTACTTTCTGCCTTACTTTTCTTTTTTCTCCTTTGTCACCCAGAGATCATTGGAATTTATCATCTCTGTCTTGTCTGCTTTCTACATTTGACTGTGTTTCATTAGATCATCTAAGAATATGTTTTTGGATTCGTTTTCAAAGCACACAGTTTGGCTTTTTTTCTTTTAATTTTGTGACTTGATAGTATTTTTATGATTAGCTAATAGGACAATAGGAAATCCTGTTAGATTAGCAAGATGCATTTCATCTATAGCACTGTGCTACCCAGGAGGCTAAATCCATACCATTAAAAAGTTATGTCTTAGCATAGTGGCCTGTAACACAACCTCATGCGATAGATGCTTTTGGCTCCATTTGGAGTTCTCTGACTTCTTAGCCGTTTATCTGTTTATTTACTTTTTGAGACAGGGTCTCGCTCTGTCACCCGGGCTGCAGTACAGTGGTGTGATCATAGCTCACTGCAACCTGGAATTCTGGGCTCGAGCAATCCCCCTGCCTCAGCTTTCCAAGTAGCTGGGACTGCAGGAGTGCATCACCACGCCTAGCTATTTATTTCTAGAGACAGAGTCTTACTATGTTGCCCAGGCCGGTCTTGAACCCCTGGCTTCAAGTGATCCTCCCACCTCCGCCTCCTAAAGTGTTGGGATTACAGGCGTGAGTCAGCACACCTGGCGCAGACTTCTTAGCTGTTTCAAATACAGCCAATATTTTCTTCTTCCCCTCTCCTCCGCGGTTATTTTTTTGTTACCATGTTTAATAAGATCAGACGGGGTGCTGATGCGGAAGTCAGCCTGGGCCAGGTTCAGTACAGCGCTCACTGTGACACTGGGTAAATGACGCCACTTTCTGAGCCTTGTTTTCTTTAGTTGTGGTTGTGAAATAGGCTGATGGCTACCAAACTGGACTGTGTTAGGAGTAAATGTGAAGTGTTGTATATCGTGCCTGGCATCTAGTAGGTGCTTATTAAAATTCCGGCTTCCCAAACTTGCTCCCATGCAGGTCTGTAGGGCGGAATTACTAGTGTTGAGATCTGGACCAGCTTTAGGGTCATATTCTTAAGTTATCTCCTTCTGTTGGTCTACTGAGAAGCGAATGAGATTCCCGTGATCACCAGCAGCCCAGGTAAACGTACCTGAGGTGAGGTCCCTGGAGAAGCAGGTGCCAGCCAGAGTCTTCCGCCTGGCTCCCTTACCTGTTTAATTCACCTTGCCATCTGCTCACCGTGGCAGCCGAAACAGCCAGGTGTTTCAGAGTGCTGGCAAACGCCTGTCTCTTCATCTTGCCTGACCAGCTTCAAGCAGGTGAAGAACAAACAGAACATTCAGACTAGAAGGAGATCCATGTTAAAAAGACCGAGGCGGGCAGTGTTTTCTTCTTGTAATTTGCTCTTCCTGTCTGATTAATCATAACCAAGGCAGCATGTCCAGATAGATAATATGAAATTAAAGGAAAGGCTACACTGAGGAGCTGAACCTTACCCAGCAGGCTTCATTCTAGTGTCTGAGTCCTGATGCTCCTCTGATGTTAGTAGATTTTGGGATTTCCTCTCTTTTGAGGATTTGAAAATGTTCTGGCTGGAGCACCGGGGTGTGGAAGGAAAGCAGAGGGGAAAGAGGCAGTGACCCTAATTATGTTTGCCCTGCTGTGCATGCGCTTTTCCCATAGAACTTTCCCTTGGGGCCCGCCAGGAAATGAAGCTTTCTCTCTTCCCTTGCCCTGTGCGCCTGGTTTTCGTGTGTGGGAGGAGTGAGCAGGTCTTGGGTTGGTAATGGGAGATAGATAGCTCATTTTACAGTGTCTGGCAAGTAAAGGAAGCCAGGCTGGAGAACGAGCTGGAGAAATGGATGGGAAGGAGGCAACGTTGTCTCTGAAGAAGATGCAATACATATTTATTTTTTAATTCACATACCTTCTTATATTAAAGGAAGGACTGCAGGCAGCCAAGAGACTGGCAGAATTCCCACATGGCTTAGGCAGCAGCAGGGAGGTGACGGGCTTGGCCAACCCCCCGGGGCCTTGGAACCAGCCAGGAGTGGAGATAGTCCATGAGCCCCGCAGCATGACAGAACTAAAATAGTACAACCAGCTTTGAGAAGACACCAGCATGGGTGTCTGGAGAGACATTCAGGTGTGTTACTGACCAGATTTTGGAGATTCTCGTGCGAGGCCTCTCACTGCTGAGGGGTAAGCCAGCCTTGGTGTCAGTCCCAGATCAGTCAGCCACTTGCCAGCAATGCAGCTGCCAGCAAGTGACTTTCCTTCCTATACTCAAGTTTTCTCATCTGCAAACTGCAGACAGCAGGGATAACGTGAAGATGAAGTGAGTTATAAATGTAGACCTCAGGAAAGTGCCTGGCACTTAGCAAATGCCCAGTAGCAGTTGGCCGTTCTTACGTGAGCAAAGGATGCCCAAGGCATGGGATAGAAATCTGAGGACGATGCGTCTTTCCACATCATGTTTTAGTTGTGATTTCACTAAGTTTCCTTGGCTGTGGAGTGTCAGAGAATGCAAGTAATTCCGCACATGTCTGTGGCCTCTGTAACTCCAAACAGCAGACCCTTCACAGCCTCACTTCTCCCCCCAGCCCATCCTTGGGAGCAGGCAGAGGGGGGCGGGGAAGGGTCGGCCTGTTAAACAGTTGGAGGAGAAAGGCCTAGACTGCTGTCGGGGCCGAGACCTCCAGCCTTCCTGGGTTCTCTCCCAGTGAATCGTAAACATCCTCCCTTCAGAAGGATGAGAGGCTTCGGTATCTCCTTACCAGGGTTCTTCACCTTCCAGAGTCTGTTGGCGTACCCCCTTTTTCCCTTCCAAAAGTAGAGGTGACGTGGCCATATTGTACCTGGGCTTTCTCATCATCCTTCCCAGACTCCCATGTGTCCAGTCCCAAGCTGAACCTGATAGTACGGTGGCTTTTTAAGACTTCTCAAGGTGCTGTTTTGCTATCAGGGATGACCTGCACAGCCGGCGGGCATTCGTACTGGGGCCTGCTGGGCAGGGTGAATGGGAGTCCCCAGGGACAGCAGAGAGCACCTCTCAGCAGAACTGCCTCCTGGCAGGCCCTGGACACCCACCTGGAAATTCTGCTGCTGACCATTTGTGCAGCGGGGACACTGGTGTCCTTCCTGTCCTCAGGCCTGTGGGTTGTGATGGGTGGGCAGTGTGCACACCTGGTCTTTAGTTGTGAACCCCGGCTATGCCACCACTAATTAAGTGACTTTGGAAGGTTATCTAACTTCAGGCAGCCACCATTCCCCCATCTGTAAAGTGCGTAATTATAATACTTAGTGCTTTCGAGGAGTGAGTTGGTGTAACAGATGTAAAACAAGGCGCTGTGCAGGCCTGCCTTGGTGTGGGGAAGCTTGATTTAAAAACTCACAAGGAGGCTGTGGCAGGTGGGACTCGGGAGCCCGTGACCTGGTCCCTGCAGGTCTGCGAAGCCCCGGGCTCCTTTGGTGTTGCTAACATGCATGCTTCCTTAGGAAGTGGGTCCACAGCTTCCTTCAGATTCTCAGGACAGCTGAGAGTTAAGGAGCACAGCTCTAGAGCAAGGTCTCTCAACGCCAGCCCTGCTGACATTTGGGGCCAGCTCGTTCTTTGCTGTGGGGCTGCCCTGTGCATTGTGGGATATGGGGCAGCGTCTCTGGCTTTTACCCGCGAGATGCCATGAGCACCAGACGCCATTCCTCCACCGCTGAGACAACCAAACATGACTCCAGGGCGGGGGGCGGGCGCAAAATTGTCCCTAGTTGAGAACCATCGCTCTAGATGCGCCTTAGCCTAGTGAGAGAACAGATATGTGACAACCTCTTTCCTTAGAATCTTTCTTTCCTAATTCTTTTTTTTAAATTTAGTGTATTTTCTATTTATATTTCATATATCCAGAGTAAGTATGCTGCTCCTGTACCCATGAACTCTTAAACCCGGGGTAGACCTTGAAACGGTGTCTGGGAACTCTTTGAACATGTATTGGCAGTGTGCGCCGCCTTTTTCCTTCTAAGCGGATTTGAAATTGCTCGTTTATAAATCCCTTTCCAGCCTCTCTGGCTGAGATTGTCCCTGAGAAGTTATTTCCGAGGGCTGTTTGGAAACGGCAGACTCCGCACCCACACCACAGGCCCCTCCCTCACCCGCCGCCTCCCACCTCAGCCTGCCCACGTTCCCCTCTCTTCTGTCTTGACTTCCTGAGCTGCTGGCTCCTGGCAGCCTCAACTCCCATGTCTTCAAGCCCCAGGGCAGCCTGGTATCCTAAAGTGCTTCTTTCCTACCCAGCAAGCACAGCCTTGGTAAACCAGTGGTGACTGCCCGAGCATCCATTTGTGCGGGAAGGCTCCTGCCTGCCGGTGCCCGGACCCTGCGGAAGGCTCCTGCCGCCCGGTGCCCGGACCCTGCGGAAGGCTCCTGCTGCCCGGTGCCCGGACCCTGCGGAAGGCTCCTGCCCCCCGGTGCCCGGACCCCTGCGGGAAGGCTCCTGCCTCCCGGTGCCCGGATCCCTTCGGAAGTCTCTCCTTTGAGCACGGAATATTTATTGGCGAGGCCATGCGCATCTGGGTACCTCCTTCATCTGTAGAATGAGCGCTGCCAGCCTCACGCTCACGGGCCGTGCACTAGCGTGGTGGCACATGCGGCATTAGTAAGTGTTCCAAGGGTGAAAGTGTTCCTCTGTGAAATAAGTCGGGCAAGGACACTGTGGCATATGACAGGGTCTGTGATGCCCCTCAGCAAAAACACTTCTTCACTAAGTTTCCTGAGCACGCTTGGCTTAGGGACACTTCTCTTTGTAGAGCACCTGTGACACCTTGGGGTCTTCAGGGACACACGCCGGTGTCATTACAGACCTTGCATGGTGTCATCTGAGTCCTGGGGTTTGGTGTCATGGAGAAGACGGGCTCCCCTGCATTAGACGTCTGTGTGGACCGACCGTGTTCTTAAATCACACCTCTGTGACCCGATTCCGTCTCCCTAACCCAGCAGCCTCTCAAAGTTGCTGGCAGAATTTAGAAAACCTCAGTCAAGGGGGTGATGGTCGGATCCGCCACAGCATCACCTCTGTGAGCTGCCTTCATTTCCTTTCGCTTTTCTCTTGCTGTGGGTCCTGGGCCTGGTTTGATGTGATCTTATTCTGCCTGAGCTCATGTCTTCCCTGTCCCCGGCAGTGTGTATCTGGCATAGAATCGGTACATGTGCTCCCCCTCTGATGCGTACCTTGCCATGTTTCCCCCTTCCATTTTGTAAAATGCGAAGGTGTTGAATTTTGGGGTTGATATCAGTTGATTAAAATAAAAGCCTTGTCCCCAGACTTCCTTTGCACATACTATGGTGTGGATTTTACCTAAAAAAAATTGTTGATTTCTTAACTTGGCACCCCTTCTGGGCGTGGTAGGGTTTGGCTACTGTTTTGTGGTAGAGTTAGGTTTAGGGCAGCTCCTGAAGTTCCCACTGTGGTCCACCTGGAGGCCCAGGCCCTGCCGGGGTTCGCGCTGAGCACTTTGAGGGTTGTAAGCAGCCACTGTCCTGGACTTCCATCCTAAGCCTCTCTTCTCCTTGTCCCCTCTTCCCCTCCTGGTCTCCTGCAGGTTCTGCCACCCTGCACCACTGGCAGCAGTTGGCCCAACCTCACCTTGGGGGCATCCTGGACCCCCGGCCCGGTGTGGTCACCAAGGGCTTCCGGACGCTGGACGTTGACCTGGATGAAGTGTACTGCCTTAACGACTTTGAAGAAGATGACACAGGTGACCACATTTCTCTCCCGCGCCTAGCTACCTCCACGCCAGTTCAGAACCCAGAGACCTCAGGTGAGAGGTCCCGAGCACGTGTGACTGTCTCAGGCAGCAGAAGTTACCCGAGCCGGCCTCAGGCTTCCCCAGAGGAGATGCAGGAGCCGCCAGCGGCCACGGAGGAGGAGGAGGAGGAGGAGGAGGAGGAGGAGGAGGGGTCTGGTGAGGGCACCATGATAAGTCCTGTAAACTTGGCACCTTTCCCGGAGGCAGAGTTTTGGGCCATTCTCACCTCTGTTCCAGGCACCATCCGTAGTGGCTCTCTGTCTGTAGCTTCTGCTCGTCTGTGTGGGTGATGATTAAAGCATTCTCATTGTGCGGTTCTGTTTTTTAATAGAGTCTGAAGCCTCCTATTTGTAACAATGAGTGTCGCTCCCCTGCCCGTCTTGGAGGTGCATGGCCCAGCAGGGATCTTAAAGAGGGACCAGGAAAGGCTGCTAAAAAAAAAGTGGGCTATTGGGCGGCTGAGAACATCAGTGCCCTTCGTCCTGGTCTGGGTGTCTCCTTGAGTCTAAGGAGAAGATTCCCAAGTTCCCTGGTGATTTCCAAGTGGAGCTGAGCAGCTTCGGGGAAATTGGGTGCTGGGTCATTCTGAAGGCAAGTGAGACCATTTGTCGCCTATGTGCTGTATTAAAATGGAAAGAACCTGTAAAGGTTCAGGGTTTCAGATCTTCGCCAGCCTCGTCACTTTCCGGGCCTCAGTGTAGGTAGATACATCATTTTCTTTCCAGCTTACGCATGTGTTCAAAGTGGGCTTTTTAAAAGTGTGTCAGCAACACTCAGTAACCAAGTAAACCTTTGGAGAATGTCACTAAGCTTTTCCGGAGAGAGAGCCCCAGATGAGGCTGGGAGGGAGCTCTGCCTGACTCCACCCACTGCGCCCAAGCACTGAAGCTGTGACCGTGAGTTTACAGAATCACCCACATCCCAGTCGCCACTGGGATGAAGAGCTTTGTGCTCTGAACCCTGGGAACGTGGGATCACATGGCTACTGTTTTCCCCAACAGCACGCTCTGCCTGGACTGGGCCTCCCAGCCCCTTGTGCTGGGAAGACAAAGCTTTTGTGGAGTCAGGGGAGAGACTGAGAAGAAATGAGTTACCCTGTGTTGTCATCCTCATGTCATTCCCGAGTCACCCAGTCTGAAACGAGGACATGCGTCTTCATGATTCGTGATTTTCCTCTGTGAACGCCGCAGCTCTCCCCACGAAACACGGCAGGAAGGAGCTGGGGTTCCTGGCGGTGTCTCCCATCCCCCTCGCTAACTTCAGGCAGCTGTGGTCAGGGGATTTTATGTGGGATCAACTCTTCCTTTTGTCCTTGACGTTAACTTTAGAGAAGTCATCCAGTCGTGTGATTTGTTCAGTACATAGGTTTATTAATGGTTTGATTTTTTTTAAGCTATTAAATTACTAGATTAAGCTTGTGAGGGAATGAGATGTTTTTTATTTCGTATCTATACCTTGAAAAAGGAAAACCAGTGCGGAGTGTCCCAGCTTTGGCATCCGCACCAGTGCCCGTCAGGAAGGCAGGCGGTGCCGCACAGCATGATGCCTGGCTGATTTCTGCGGCTGAAGGGGTCGGCGTCATGTCGATTGGGATGCTCCCTGGCAGCCTCTCAGGTAGAATAAAAGCTGAATTCTGGAAGCGGAAAGAAGCCCATGAGGTGCATCTTCAAGACGTTGTACAGAAGGACTGAAGGTTATTAAGTCAGCAAACAGCTTCTCCCGGAGGACACAGAGGGGGAGAAGGGGCCAGCGACGAGGACTGTGGTCCTGACCACGCTCCTGAGCGGAGACACCAACGGCTCTTTCTTGCTTGTTCCCTCTGTACTCAAACCTTAGCAAATTCATCCTGGCAACTTTATTTGAGGAGGGGCATGAACATTTATAGTTGAAACTGTAGAAAGGGTCAGGTTGGAGGTGTGTAATAAAAAGAGAATTATCTAGGTTGCTGAAGGTAATTTAGGAAGAGTCTGAGCATTTAGATGAGACTTCATTTGGGGCTTATTTTCTGGGTAAGACTCATGTTTAAAAACTGGTTTCAGAGAGGAGCAGGGTGAACAGTGAGTTGGCTCTGTTTTCTCTATTGGGAATTACGGGAACATTTAAATTCTCATAATGTAAAAGCACATCACTAAATAAATCATCCTAGGGGTCCCAAGTAGCTATTCCTGCAATCATAGAGACACAGGCAGACAGATAAGCTTCCTGGGAAGGGCTTGGGGCATGCTCTGCCTTGCAATTTGTATCCACGGTGGTCTGGTCCCTGCCTTTTGATTCATCTTCTACCCTTGGGCTTTTCTGTTCCCAAACAGCACTATCCCAGGAGCTGCTGCCTGCCTGGGAAGACTCAGTAGGGAGACACTTTGGGCACAGAAGGTGATTAACCTTTTTATGCATAGCTGGTATGATTGAAGGAAACTGGGAAGACTTACATACTAGGCGCTTTTGTTCAGAGCCTGCTGTCCCGTGGAGAAAGGGTTTTAAGCACTGAAAAAGTTTGATTTATGTATTTAAATGTATTATTTGAAGCATCATCCACTTGTTGATGTTTATAATCCCACGTCGTAAGAAGGATGATTCCATGTTACTGTATCGTACAAGATTTAGATGATTAAAGTGGAATGTTTGAAAAGTTTTAGATTATAGTTTAACTTTCAGTGATATGTTTTAATTTATATAGAAAGTATATCAGAACCAGTCACCTTCTTGTTCTGCGAGCACTCTGTGTTTTAGGCGTTTGTGTGGGGAAGAGCCTGCATGTGGCAGGGGACAGAAAGTCAGACAGTGACGTCGGTAGTTGGCTGGCGGATAGGCAGTTTAGTTTAATTATCTTGGATGCCTTGATCCTTAAAGGTGAGAGAGAAGCGGGATTAAAGCCACATGGTTAGAGAAAATTGATGGTCAGTTTATTTTGAAGCCTTTACACAGCAAGACTGGTTCATATGGAGGGGAAATATCCTCAAAAACTTACACAAATCATGGCATCTTGGCATCTTACCTGGCCACATTGGAAACTGTGTCCCAGCTGGAGCTGAGCTCCTCGTTTTTGAGACAGAGTCTCGCTCTGTTGCCCAGGCTGGAGTGCAGTGGCGCAATCTCGGCTTATGACAACCTCCGCCTCCCGGGTTCAAGTGATTTCCCTGCCTCAGCCTCCCAAGTAGCTGGGACTACAGGTGTGGCCACCACACCCACTAATGTGTGTATTTTTGTAGAGACAGGCTTTCGCCCTGTTGACCAGGCTGATCTGGAACTCCTGGGCTCAAGTGATCTGCCTGCCTCAGCCTCCCAACTTCTGGAATTACCAGTGCGAGCCACCATACCTGGCCTAGAGCTGAGATCTTAAAGTCAGAGTGGATGAGAAAAAACACACTTGGCTAAAATTGCCCTTGAAAAATTCCCTAAATCTCCAGCAGCCAGGCCACCAAGGCAAACGCCAAGAATCAGCGTCTTCCGTTGCCTCCTTGTTGGATACATAGGCCCAGGGTCAGGAGCAGTGGCTGAGCGAGGAAAGGGCAGAGGAGGGCTGTGGTGGGAAGAGCCAGGGCAGCAGGGGAGCAGGGTGTTCGTGCAGCTTTGCCGGGCGGGGCCCAGCCGGCTCGTATGCTGTGCCCCCTTCAGTCCACCGCAGATCACAGAAGTGGGGTTCAGGCAGGCTGTGAGAAGTTGGTTTGGGGAGTTGATGGGTCCGGAAGGCAAAGTCTTGTGTGCTCGGTTCACAGACCTTTGGGTGCAGGGAAGCTCTTTCCCGTTGTCTACACTGAGGGAGTTGATGTGAGTTCCCGCTCTGTTGGGAACACTTTTTGATTCGGCCTGGTTCCGTGGCGGCAATGAGGGCGTTTGGTTGTTGTGGACAGAGCGGATGGCCGGCTCACACCCACCTGTGTGAGGAGACGCAAAGGAAACCCCCGCGCTCTTCCGTCAGAATGCATATGAAGCCACAGTACAGCAGGCCAGCTGCTGCCTGCAAGTGGAAAAATGAAGAATGAAAGAATTGACTCCTTCAAAACAGACAGCGCAGAGTCAGCCCTGCTTAAAATACCCGGAACAGAGCCCACTTGTTGAGCATGGCCTCTCTGGTATCCTCACTTCTGAACAACCCCAGCACTCCTAGAGGCACGCGGGCGGCTGAGGGGTAGGCGTCCCCACCGACACCCGTCCAGCGTGGAGGGCACACCCTTGAGGGAGTGCCCGTGTGGAGAGGAGGAGTGGAGCCCAGGGGACGTAAACACCAGCGGGGGAAGCCTCAGTGCAGCTCAGCCAGGCCAGCTCCCTGCGCGGTCGGTGTCTGCACAGAAGGAAGGACGAGAGAACAGGGGGCACGGGGACCAGCCTTGGTGGTGTCTGAGGACTACAAGGAGGTTTCGCATTTGCCCTTTTGACATTTAGCAGCATTCTAAAAATCCCCCTTTCTCAGGAAGATACCCCAGGGACACTTGAGAGGATTTCTGACCCTCTGCACAGTGCTGTGAAATTGTCCACCTCTTAAATCACATACTTTTTAGATGAAACAGAGTAGGCAACTTGGCGTAGCAGCAAGAGTCGACTTTTAATTTTGCAGAAACAAAAAATAAGCTGTGCAGAAATCAGAAAAAGGTCTTGTGATGTGGTTCAAATCTCTGTGATAGAAACCTCCCAAGTTCCCGCTGGCCAGACGTCTGCCCACCGAGCTCGGGATCTCCACTGAGCTGCAGGAGCGGTCGGGGGCCTGGTGGAGAAACGCAGAGAACAAATAAATACCAAGCCTCTGCGAAGCCCAGAACCAAGGCCTTTGGAAGCATCGTCTTGTACAGCATGTTATCATTTAAAATCGCCTTTGTATTTTCTAAAACAAGAAAGCTGCACCGCTGCATGTGAAACTGCTCGTGATCCCCCACCCCTCACCTCCAGAGGAAACGCTTGGCAAAGCCGCGGGAGTCCTACACAGTACTTCTAGCAGTGACGACTCGTAGGGCAGACAGGCTTCATGGAGCTTTTCCCACGTGAACTCATCACACAACTTTTTATTTTCCCCTGAAAATGTCATGGGCAGGGTGACATAATGGAGACAGGAACATCTCTAGAGCATCTTCTATGCCCTGATATTTTAGTCCTTTGGGAAGAGCTAAAGCATTGTTTGATGGAAAGGGAACCATTTCTCATGCAGTTGACAGGCAGACACGTCTCCCTCTCCCTCTTCCACCCCTCAAGCAAAAGGCCACAAAGTCACCAGAAACTGGGCATTAAACGTCCAAAGCAGGCTGTAGTCCCAAGGGACAGTTCAAAACATGCCTTAAGCTGGATGGACAAGGGCTTTTATTTTCAATAGATTTGTTTTTACTTGGATAGAACAGGCTGGCCTGTGGGTGCCACTGCTGGGTGGGGGAGGGGTATTAGCGGAGGAGCTTATGGAACTTGCAAAGCAGATTCAGGCATGTGACAGCAGCATCCCATTACATGTTCAAGTTGAAAAAGGACAGGAAGGTCAGGGGCATAGGGTTTATTTGACACAAGTCGGCCACTTCCCAAGAATGGCGGAAAGGACGTGGAAGGCCTTCAGTGCGTCACAAAGGCAGAGTCCCTTTTCCAAGATCTTGAGGTGCTTCTGTAAATGTGTTTCGCGTGTGTAGACGTTACTCATGTGAGTTGTTGAGAAGCAGCTTGGTGTGCAGCGTGGCCGCCATCTCCATCCTCAGGGGCTTCCCCGGAGGCAGCTGTGTCTGCTGAATGCTGCACCCTAAATCTCCCCATAGCAGCACACCAAGTCCGTCTTTCAGCTCACGTGAGGGTTGTTTTAAGGGCTGGGTTCTATGGCGGCCTTTAGAGAGAAGCAAGCTTCTGTCCCCAGCTCTTCCCAGGGGTGATGAGGAAGGAAGGGCATGAGCAGGTGGGTACCAGGTGTATTTTGTGGGTGGCAGACGGGCAGAATCCTCATCCTACAACTCCCTGTGGAACCCCTGGGCCCCCCGCAGTGACCCAGCCCCTCTGTGCTTTCTTCTGCTCACCATGAAAGCACTGGGCTGCAGGAATCCGCGGGCCTTCTACCTGTCTTCCCTGGGAGGCTTGAGCAGTCCACAGCGCAGAAGCCACCCCACTCTGTCTAGCGCAGTCTGAGGGGCATCCCGGGAGTGGAGGCCGTGTCGGGGATCCCTCCTCACTGGCTTCAGCAGAAGGATCCCAGCTACCCAGTTTTCCAGTCAGTCCCAGGTGCCACAGCCCCCGAGGAGCATGGCAGTGAGCTGTCACTCTGTTAGCGTGTGGGGCGGGTGGCTGTCACCCTCAGAGTCCTCCGACGCGCCCCCCTGTAGCTAGCGGAAGGATGTGTGCTTGCATGTGGTATGTTTTCAGAACAAAACATCTGCACGCTGGCCATGGGCAGTTCATCACCGGAAACGATCTTGAATAATCAAGAATTCATTAAGTTTCAAGCCCATCACATTTTGTACCAGTGTCGGAATCTGGGAGAAGAAAAACAATTAAAAAAGAATTAGGGGTTTTTATTGGTAAATGCAAATCCATTCCTAAGTAAAATGATGAAAATATCTGTTGTTAATACTCTCACCCATCTACGTATGCCCGTCTCTTCACAACACCAGGAAGCCCTTCACTCAGGTTGAGAGAAAAAAATAGGGAATTAAGGCATGAAATCCAAGAAAGCCTGTCCTTTTGGAGCCCCCAAATTGAGCAGCATGGGATGAACACGTGAAACCATCTTCTGCACGGAACTTTCCCTTTAGATAAAGAAGGGGGCTCGGTGACTGAGCCCTCACCCCCACCCCCCTTTCCTGACAAGAAGGGTGTTTGATGTTCCTCCCGTTTTGTTTTTCTAGAACTTGCTGTCCTCCTGCATCAGGGCCTTAGGAATCAGCCTGCTGCTCTGTAGCAAGCATGAGGGGCCTCTGACATCTCGGTCCTGGGTGACTCACTGTCTCTATGTTGTGTCTCAAGGAAGGGAGGTGCAGCAGCGGCCCGGTGGTCAGTGCTGACGTGCGGAGAGCCGCCCGCCCGCGGGCCCAGGCGTCCTGGTGGTATTTTGGAGGGGCCGAACCTCTGCTTTAGCACTTTGGACACTTGTTGATCTTGGTCTTCTAAAGCTGTTGATTGCTTCTGGGGAATGGTGACTTGTGAATTTTTAGCAGCCTTCTCCTGCCTCCAAAACCCATTTGTGTAAGATGGGTTTGCTTCTGCTGATGCAGCTGTCTCTAAAACGTCCATCCTTCGCTCCCTGCTGCAACTGAAGAGCCAATGTGTAAAGGGTGGAGGGGGAAGTGAACATTCGCGACCTTTTGATTTGATATTCTGGCCATGTGTTTAAGTGGGGGGGATGCTTCTGATTTTAAATCCAGCTTCCCTTGTTTGATTTCTCTTAAATGTTATCTCTCTTTCAACTGTCTTACTTCTATTCACTGCTTTCCCCTGTCCCTCTTCCCAAATACCCTTCCTGCCTGTTACCTGGGATGCCTCCCCAGGCTTTCTGTTCTTTCTGTTTCTAGACCTTATCGCAGGAAGAGACTCGTGATTGTCGGCTGCCTTCTCTTCATAGCTTGTTCCATTTTTGTTTTGCTTGTGGCGGTTTCTTTCTTACTGGAGTTCCTGAACCATTAGGTTTACTGATGGAGAAAGATTCACAAAGGCCATTTTTATGTGTTTTCCCCTCCCTCCTGCTTTGCCTGGAGCTCCACGTGGCTGAGACTTTTCTCCTGTGGCTGTGGTGCTGGCGGTCACGCCAGGTGCCACGGGAGCCTGCTTGGGCACACAGGCCCGGGCCAGACCTTCCGCATCGGAGCACGCTGTCTCGCCTTGCTCCTCCGGTCACCGTCCCTTTTGTGCTCTGGCTTTGTCCTGCCTGCCTTTAATTTGTGTCTCCAGCATTTTTTGTTTGTTTGTTTTTGTTCGGTTCCTGGTTTTCTTTTAAGACACGGTCAACTGTGTGTGGACCTGTAGGTCTGGGGCAGCAGCAGTTCCGTTGTTTTCCTTTTTGTCAAATCCCAGAGAAAATATACCATAAGGAGCTAGAAGATTCTAGTTCAGCCTTTTGAATCTTCATGGCCTTTGAATCCCCATGGCCTCCGATATCCGAATCAGTTTTCTCCCAGGAGGTCTCTGGGGGCTGAGCTGCTACAGGGGCAGCGGGTGGGGCGGGGCTGGGTGGGAGGATCATCCCAGTCCTTCATCGTGCATGCTGTTTGGGGCAGCATCTTTTTTTTTTCTGATGCTTGAGTTATGAATGAGGACGAACCTGAGCAATCATGATGTCTCCCGCAGACTCTGTTCCTTGTTCCTTTGCCAGCTCTCTCATGCATGGTCCTAACACTTCCGTGATTTACTTTGCTCCAGACCATAGTCTCAGCTGCCTCAGCAACGGCTTGCCAGGGCATTAAAGGGAAGTAAATTGAGGAGTGCTTGTTGCCATCTCATTTTCATTAGACATCGGACATCTTAGAGATGTCAGGAAAGCAGTTGGCAGCTGGGGCTCCGGGCGCCCCGTACTGCTCACACCGTGTGTGTCAGACCAGACCCGACCCTGGAGCTTAGGGCCCCGGAGAGCCCTGATCTCTGCAGCTCTTGCCACGTTGTTGCCGAGGCAGCTGAAGTCCCCATCTCCTGCCATGATGGTCACAGACAGACAGTAGTGGAGCCAGCGTCCCTAAGCCCCTTTTTGTGTGAGCAGAAAGGGAGCTGTGAGCCTTGCCCTGCTCCCAGGTGCCAAGTGGCTCTCCCTGCCTGGACCCCTCCCCTTCCCCTGAGCAGAGCTTTGGTACCTGTTACCAATGCAAAGAAATGTAAAGCCGCAAAAGAAGACAGCAGGTCTGACCTGAGGCGGGAAACAAAATTACCCCCCAAAGTCCCATTACCCAGCCTCCCTCACCTCCCCCCCAGACTGGATCCACTACTGGCTCAAGAATCCCGATGAGAAACCTTGTCTGGCCTGGGTCGGAAGCTGGAATTCGGTGCTCTGCAGACCAGTGCTCAAAATTGTGGTTATTTTTGAGGACTCACCTTCAATCTAGAACATTTGCGTTTCACCTTCCTCGCCCAGATCCAGTTAACAAGGTAGCTCATCGCTTCTTGCATCTGTTGAGTGACACGCTGGATTTTAAGTTTCGTTGTGGTCGTACCTGGATGCAAGAATATGCTTTGTTCCTCTCAATGTAGCACACCACCCTGGGAAGTGCATGTCTCAGACCAACTCCACCTTCACCTTCACCACCTGCCGCATCCTGCACCCTTCGGATGAGCTCACTCGGGTGACGCCAAGGTAAGGGACCCTGGCCCTGGGGTGGCAGGGGCGGGGTGAGGTCGGGGCACTCCCTTGCCTGCCAGGCTTAATGTTAAGGAAAGCCAAGTAGAGAGGCTCGTAGAAAAACCAACTCAAGCCAGCATTTGCAGGCGCTTGTTCTGGGTCCCATCTTTGTTTTCTTTTCTTTTTTTTTTTTTTTTTTGCACAGAGTTTTGCTCTGTCGCCCAGGCTAGAGTGCAGTAGCGTGATCCTGGCTCACTGCAACCTCCACCTCTTGGGTTCAAGCCCATCTTTCCTTTGGAATTAAGGCTATTGTTTATCTGGATCTGGCTCAGATGAAGAGACCTGGGCCCGCCTTTGGCTGCCCTTTTAGTTGGCTGTGGAATGGATTGTTAGCCCTGTCCTCAGCCAGCTGAAGTTGACACAACCACAGGGCTGTTGGATTTTTGCCCCAAAGTTTGTCAGTAGAGCACAGAATTCTTTTAGTTATGGATGGAGTTACAGAGCCCTGTGGAAGCCCTTATGTCTCTGGAATAGGCCCCAGGAACCATGCCCCACAGCTAAAGTGTAATGGCCAAAATGAGAAGATGTCAGGACTGAGCCACGTGCCCAGCAAGGTCCGTTTCTCTCGAGCACCGTGTATGGGGAGGACTTGTCTGGTGTGAGTTGGTCTGTTTGGCCTGATTTCAAAGCCTTTCACTGCTTCCAGCAAAAGAGAAAATGGTCTCCCCTAGCAGAGCAGGGCGACCCCTCAGCTGTCTCCTCTGTGGTGCGAGATGCTGGGTTGCCGGAAGGTAAAGCAGAAGGGGCGGGAGCAGTGAGCCAGGGGGCACCTTAAACTATGAATGATTCTCCGCAGGTCATGTGAGAAGGACGTCGAAGCAGCCATATGCCCCGTTGAGCTGAGAGGAGATGTAGGGCCACGGGCGAGGCAGGGGGTGAGCACACCGCCAGCAGTGCCTGCCCCGGCAGCACCCCGGGAAGGGGCTGTGTGTGCACGCGTGGCCGTCACTAACCTGGGACTGAGGCGTGGCTGTGTCTCTGTGGTTCTAACTCGGCCTTGATGGTCGATGCCCCTAACCCATCTAAACGCCTCCAGTGAAGCCGAGCACCAGCACTAATACAGGCCTAACCCCGAGTCCTCACAGACGGGGATCTGTCCATTTCAGCCTTCTCTTCTCCGTCTCCCTTCCTGCCCCTGGAGAACGTGGCTTCCCCGTCCGGTGGCTTTATGTGGGGAAGAGGCTGTTTTCAGAGCCGTGGAACCAGCATCCCTGATGAGAGGCTGGTGCTGGGTTACTGGATGGCGCTCCTGACTGTAGCCACAGGACTCAAGCCGCGCACAGGTCTTCATGTGGCTGTCCGGCCGAGCCAAGCCTGGGAAGTCAGTAGCAAGAGAAGGCTTTTATTTTTATTATTATTTTTTTTTTGGCCTGAGTTTGAAAGAAAGGCTGCCCGAAATAAAACGGCAACAAATCAATTGAAACAAACAAAATGGAAACAGTCTCCCTCGGGATGGCCATGTCCACATGGTCTCAAGTCTGTGGCTTTTTGCCCTTTACTGAGGGCACATCAACATTTGTAAAACTCCACCCCTGCCTTTAGAAAAAATTCCACGTTTAGCCTTAGGAATCTGCTGTGGTTTCTAATCATGCTTCTCTGAGTGCCCCCAGCCCACCAGCATCCCAACCCCTGAGCTTGTGTGAGACGGGCCGTTCTGGGATGCCCACACCATGCCGACCTCCAGGGCTGAGGTCCCCTGCGTGTGGAGCCAGATGGTGCCGCTAGCTTGTATGTCGTTTTGAGCTGTCTCCCATGAGGGAGGGGGACCCTTCTCTGCTCATTCCAAAGACCTGCCCCCAGATCGGGCCCTTTCCTTCCCTTTCCCTCCATTGGTGCCTTTCCCAGAATGCGTGGAGTTCCTTCCACCAGGCTGGGGAGAGAAGTCTCCATCCTCAGCTCTCAGGGACCACACAGCTGACCTGCGCCAAGGCGCACTGGCAGCCCCAGCAAAATCCTGGAGCCGGCGCGGACACCAGAGTGTTAGGAGGGCTGTGCGCCTTTGCCTCCTGGCTGCTTGTTGAGAAGCGGGGAGCGCCCGTTGGCTCTTGGTCGCTCATTTAGATGCAGTGCAGAGCTTCCTTGCCTGCTTGGCCTCCCCGGACCCTGTAGCAGCTGTTAAAAGAGAACCTCTCCCAGCTTTGCAGGGCGGCAGTGTCACAGCCAAGGACTTTATTGCCAATTGGAAGTTTCCCCGATACACCACAGTGGTGACTTGCAGTATAGGCAGCACTGGTAATTCTTCACAGTCCCTAAGGAGAGTGAGTTATTAGGTTGGTGCAAAGGTAATTCTTCACAGTCCCTAGGGAAAGCGAGTTATTAGGTTGGTGCAAAGGTAATTGCAATTATACATATGAAAAGAGAGAGAACCTTTCCTGCTTTTTAAGCAGACAGCAATGCATTTCCCTCCGCTGCCCTTCCGGAAACTTTTCGGTCCTAAATGGACTCCATGGCCGGATCTCAGCTGCTGGAACCAGTGAGTCCCCGGTGAGCACGAGCCGCATGAATGAACAGACCTTCCGCTTTCCTCGGTGCCTCGGGCTCCACACACTGCGGCGGGCCTTTCCCTGGGCAGCGTGGTCGATGGAGATCTGTTCATATGCGACATGCCTCCCCCGACCCTCCAACTCCACTGGTTAGTGTGGATTTGGGCAGCATTTAAAGAGGGGTAAGGCAGCGTGGGACAGAGTCAGGAGCTCTGCACCCGGAGTCAGAGCTCACGGCCACAGCGGACCGAGGGGCACAGCCCGGCCTCAGCCCACGTGCTGTGGCCATCCTTGCCCTTCCTAAGATAAAGTGTCTCGTCTCCCGGAGTCCTGGCTCACGTCTTGCTTCAGGGAGAAGTAGGTACTAGGAAGGAGCACAGGAATCTGGGTAAATCTGTTGGGGAGAGAGTGCCTGTTTGCCAAAGGGCTTCTTTTCTTGTTCTCAGACGGGTTTAGAGTCACTCAACTTGTGGTGTCCACCCAGCAGCCAGATGTGGCACCAAGTGAACCCCTAGCTCTGAGCCTGTTCCTTCAACTGCGGAGGCGACAGCTGGGCCCACCAGCCGGGGATGGGCAAAGGGAGTCACTGCAGCCTCCTGTTCACTGAAACATGCTCCCCTTGCAGGGTGAGAGGGAAGAGCAGATGTGGTCGGAGCCTTTGGGGACCTCCGCTGGGGGAACCCTCCCATCGTGTCCTGGGCCTCCCCACACCCCCCGCAGGAGACTGGCTGCTGGCGCTTTCTGTGGAGCTCATGGGCTTCTGGCGAATAACCTGTCGTCTCTCCTTCCAGCCTTAACTCAGCCCCAACTCCAGCTTGTGGCAGCGCCAGCCACTTGAAGTCCACGCCGGTGGCCACACCATGCACTCCACGGAGACTGAGCCTGGCTGAGTCCTTCACTAACACCCGTGAGTCCACGACCACCATGAGCACATCCCTGGGGCTTGTGTGGCTGTTGAAGGAGCGGGGCATTTCTGCTGCCGTGTACGACCCCCAGAGCTGGGACAGAGCCGGCCGGGGCTCGCTGCTGCACTCTTACGCACCCAAGATGGCCGTGATCCCCTCCACCCCGCCGAACTCGCCCATGCAGACGCCCACGTCCTCCCCGCCCTCCTTTGAGTTCAAGTGCACGAGCCCCCCCTACGACAACTTCCTGGCTTCCAAGCCGGCCAGCTCCATCCTGAGGGAGGTGAGAGAAAAGAACGTCCGCAGCAGCGAGAGCCAGACCGACGTGTCGGTCTCCAACCTCAACCTCGTGGACAAAGTCAGAAGGCTCGGCGTGGCCAGAGTGGTGAACTCAGGGCGACCCCACATCCCCACCTTGACTGAGGAGCAGGGACCCCTCCTGTGTGGGCCCCCGGGGCCAGTGCCAGCCCTTGTCCCCAGAGGCCTGGTACCCGAGGGCCTGCCCCTGGGATGCCCCACTGTCACCAGTGCCATTGGCGGGCTGCAGCTCAACAGTGGCATCCGGCGGAACCGCAGCTTCCCCACCATGGTGGGGTCCAGCATGCAGATGAAGGCCCCCGTGACTCTCACCTCAGGCATCTTGATGGGTGCTAAGCTCTCCAAACAAACTAGCTTACGGTGAGGACCGCAGGGGCCGCTTGCCCTGGAGGAGGTGACATTCTCCTGCCTTGCGCCCTCCTCCCGCTCCGCTCCTCCCCGGGGCGCACTCCCTCCCGCTGCCCTTCTCTGTCCACCCCCTCCTGAGCTAGACAAATCAACCTCGTGCCTAAGGGAGGAAGAGTGGAAACTTTGTAAAATGTGTACATAGGACTTGGAGACCCCGTGTCCGCCCTGCTCCTTCAGATCCCACGGGAAACGCGTCTGCACTGTCATCACGCTCACGAAGACTTCACCTATGCTCACGTGGGGGAAGGTGGGGTCCTTTCCTCTTTCCTTTTAGAAGCACTGAAACTCCCAAGTGTGTTCTTATCCTATGGATAGGAAACCAGTGAATTCTGTGGCTGGCACACCACGAGCTGTCACGCGGCACAGGTCATAACACCTCGCCTCGCCCACCCTGTAAGGAGCCTAAGCAGCCTCCGTCCTCAGCCACGTGTGGCTGACGTGGCTTTGCTGATCGGAGGGCTTTTCTTTTTATGGGTGGCCCAGCTTCTTCAAGACCTTCGCTGCTCCGCCTCAGTGGACAGTCGTTTCTTCTCTGAGGTGTGACCTTTTGTTTTCACGCCTTTCCCTTGAGGTCATCCTGTGGTTTGTGAGCAGCCGTCAGGCCCGATGTCCGACCTGAGAGAATGTATTTATGGTCCTGCTGCGTTGTTCAGCAGCCCGTCCGTGTTCTGTGTGATCTGTTTTATTTTTCCTTTTTTTAATATGCAGGGAAGTCATGGTACTGGTAGTGTATGTTGTCTGTGTGGTTCAAATATGCATTTCAAACACACCAAGCCGCTAAAAAGATAGCAGCTTTTTCTGGGACCCTGTGTCACAACCAAATTGATGTAAGACCAGACACAAGACACCTTTAACAATAGGATTAAAAGGAAAAAGGATAGGGGAGAAGCTTTTTAAAGAAATCTGTCAACACCAATTTGTCACAAGCAGGCATAATAACAAACTGGTTTCAGGGACAACAAGGCTTGGGCATTCCGCTGTCTCCAGCGCCGCCTCTGGAACCCAAGGCCGGCCGGGGTGCGGTCGCCGTGCGGTCTCCGATCGCGCCATTCAGTGCCCACACGTTCTGCCTTCTTGTCTGACAGCAGCACACGGTCACAGCAGGTGTTTTCTTTCCCTCCAAAGCCTTTTTCTCCCTGTGCCACTTTTGACCCTTAGGAAAAGACACAGGTGCTTGCGAAGAGAACCAGGAGGCTGGTCCTGTTGCAGTCGCCGATTCGGTTTTAAACTTTTATTTATTATTTGTGTCTGCCGTGTTTTAAATACACATTCTCTTTCCTTCCAGTTCCAGTCATAGTGTGTCTGTGGCATCCCAGTCCAACCACATAACTTACTGATTCTAATGTGAGGGCTGCACTACATCATGGGGTCCCGTGACACCGTGCTCCAGACATTTATGGAAGGAAAACATCCCACATAAATGAAACTGTCACTCTGTGTCCTCCCCACCAGCAGAAGATGCATCCTTCCACTGAGTGAGGGTAACCTCATGCCCGCCAAGGATAAAGCCCCTAAGGAACAAGCTTCAGTCCCACGGTTTCAGGCTATTTATTCTCTGAACACAAGAGTATCGGTTCATTGTTCTCAGCTGTCCTGACTGTTGTATGTGTGCACTCACTGCAAGTAACTTATATCTTTTTATTTGAATGTATTTTAAAGCAGTAGGTAGAATAACAAAGGAATATGAAAATCATAGACTGAATGGACCAGTTTATGTATTGAGAGAGAGGAGGCGTTCGTCATTGCCAGAAATATCATGTAAAAATTGGCAGTTCAGAGGTTGCAACATTTACTATAGTAAATAAACAGTCACCATTGTGCAACCACTACCAAAAAGTGTGTTGTAATGCATCAGAAATCAGCACAATTTCATTTGCTGATGAGTATCAATAAAATAAGTTCAAATGATGGAAACCACACTGGTATTCGGATTTGTATTTTGTTTTTATCTTTTCATCAGGGAGACGATCTCATTATGTAAGACTTGAAAGTGTTTAGCAGAAAATTAAATGAAAGGCGTATACTTTACATGCCATTACATGCCTTCTTTCTTTCAACATGATATACCTTAGACAACTTTCCAATCAGACTCTGAAGATGTCCCTCACTTTTCAGGGCTGTGTACTATTCCACTGAGTGTATATTCCCACTGTGAATATTTACATACCCTTATGAACCGTCCCTTACAGATGGTCACTGGGATAATTCTTTTTGTTTTGTTTTGTTTTTGAGACAAGATCTCACTCCATTGCCCAGGCTGCAGTGCAGTGGCACAAACATGACTCACTGCACCCTTGACCTCCTGGGCTCAAGTGATACTGCTGCCTCAGCCTCCCAAGTAGTTTGGACCATAGGTGTGTGCCATCATGCACAGCTAATTTTTATTTATTTTGTATTTTTTGTAGACGTGGGGCCTCACCATGTTGAAGTCCTGAGCTCAAGTGATCCTCCTGCCCCAGCCTCCCAAAGCACTGAGATAGGTGTGAGCCACTGTGCCTGGCGTCACTGGGTTAATTCTAATCTTTTGCTGTCACAGTGCTACGGTGACAAACCTTGCATGTATGTGATCATCCCATATGTGAGCGCATCTGTGGAGCAAATTCCTAAATGGATGTTGCCAAACTGCCTTCCATAGTGTTGGGCTAAGAGACACCCGAGGACAGTGGAGGTCCACCAGATGGAGAAGAGTGAGGAGAACAGAAGGAGAAAACGTTCTGCCCCCTCAATGCTTGCAAGCACTGAGATCAGGCAGACAAACGCTGCTGTCAGACGTGGTGTTGTGGGTCTGAAGTCAGGTGCTGACCATTTGGCGGCGGTGCGACCTTGGGTGAGCCATGCATCCTCTTTAGGTCCTCCATTTTTTTTTAACCTGTGACATGAAAACAGTAATGCACCTTAGAGTTAATAGTTGAGTAAATGTGTTCTGAGTACCCCCCATGTGCCAGGTATCGCAGGTGCTGGGGCTGAGCAAGTGAGCCGGGCTCTGCTGTCACGGGGGGTATGAGAACACAGGTGTAGAATAACGAGGGCTGCGCAGAGAATTAGAACAGGGCGTGTGAAGGAGTGGGTGGCTGCTTTGGATTGGACAGTCTGAAGAAGCCTCTCCAGGGAGGGCAATTGAGTGAAGCATGTGAGAGCTGGCACGGGCATTGCGGCACAGAGAGCAGCTGGTGTGAAGGTGCAGAGGCAGAAAAGCACTTTGTTGCCCTTGAGAACAGAGAGGAGGCCTGCGTGGCAGTGGGCAGGTCGGATCCAGGAAGTGTGCTGGTGGCGGAAGTCATGGGGCTCAGCAGATGATTCATCTGATCCCCATTTCCCAGCCATTGCAGTCGGGCAGGTCACATGATTAGTTCTGACCAGTGGGCAATAAGCAGAGGAACATCCACACAGGACTCTGTGGCCTCTCTTTCAAACCACGTATTGAAGTGGTGGCGTCTCCATTATCCTGAGTCCTCAGGTGTGTGGACCACAGCTTCCTGCCAACCTGGTTGCTATGTAACCTGAAGGAGAAACAACTTCCTTGTTAAGCCAGTAGGATTTTTTGATAGTACATTGGAATCCCAGATCTGGGGCCCAGGTACCTGTGTTGTAACAAGCCCTCAAGGTGATTCTGGTGTGCACCAAAGTCTGAGGCCTTCCGCACTAGACCAGGTGGAGTTTGGGTGGGGGTTCTGCTGTGGGAGGGGGTTCCCCTTTCCAGTCTCTCCTTGTCTCAGGGGCTCTGAGAAGGCAGGCAGCTGCAGCCCCTCTTACTTGAAGGGAAGAGAGAGAGAGTGGGTGGTTTAACTGCCCAGCAGGGGCAGAGGGAGGCTGAGCCTGGACCTGGGCTGCTAGGGTTTCCCAAGTGGGAAAGGCATTCCAATCAGAGGGAGGTTGGAAAGGGGAGCCTGGAATGCATTCCTCTAAGCCCTTCCTTACAGCAGAAGGAAGGTCAATGACAGATACAGAAGGGACAACAGAATCAGAAAAACCACCATTTTGCAGCCATAATACTAATTCAGACGACAATGGGTGTGAAAACCACAGGGTGAGAATCCGTTAGGCAGCAGGATGTTTACACCTTCGTATCTTCCCACAGAACTCTTGCTAATTACAAAGCGGGGAAGATATCTTCGCAGTGGACACCTCTGTTGGGCAGTACGCCACTTTCAACAAGTCATAAAATTTAACGTTACCCAAAACAGGACAAACTGCCAGAAGACACCTCCTGTTATGAGATGTATTGGGAGGGACACACGCCACGCCGTGCTGTTCTGCCACAAATGCAGAACCTGAATCATGAGGGCGACTAATCAAGGGACATTTATCATCTTATAAAACAATGTACCCGTCCCTTAAAAAATTGTCAGTGTCATTACAAAGAGTGAGAAACTGTTCCGGGTTAGAGGAGGCTGAAGGGACAAGCCAGCGAATGCGATTTGTGATCTGAATTGGATGCTGGAGCGAAGACAATGCTGGGACAGTCGTCAGAGAAATCTGAACACACAGCATGTGTTTCTGAAATTGTACGGGTGTGAAGCTTCCTGAATTCAGTAATTGCACTGTGGATGTGGAAGGGCATGTCCTATTTCCCAGGAGCTAAAGGGTTAAGACCAAGGGGCTTGGTGTCTGCAATTCGCTTTGAAGTGTTTTCAGGAAAAGTAAAGAATGAAACTTAGAAAAAAAATTTAAAAAGTGGAGGAAAAAAGAGTTAATCTGAAAAGCCAGGAAGCCCTCTGATGCCCTCTACTGTCACACGTTCTGCAAACCTGGAAGGCATTTCCTGTCTCCTGAGTGTGACCCAAGGATGTTTACGGTAGTTTGGGGCGTCTTCCCTGTTCTGTGTCGAATTTCTTCATGTGTGTCCCAAGCCCTTCTCCCAGCCGAGGAAGGTCAACCAGAGGACACCATGGCCTAAGGGAGAAGTTGTCAAAGAGGCATTTGATGAGACCAGAAAACAAAGATAATAAAATTCTTGTTTTTCAAATATGAGGAAGGACAAAGCTGAGTGTACGTTTTGGTGTGAGACCAAAGGTTTGGAAGGAAACTTGTGGAGCCAGTTTCTCTCTCTCTTTAAGAAAGAATATATTTTTAAATTGTTAAAGCATCGAGTTGGTGAAAGTTTCTCTTTCCACGGCTTTCTCCTCTGCCACTCCTGCGTGCCAAGCACAAAGGACAAGGACTTCACGCAGATGCTCCAGGCGGTAGGAGTTGGAGAGGGCTGCCAGCGTTGAACGGGTGTGTGGGCCTTTCTCCTCTCCCTGTCTGTGGGCCACGACCAAGGTTATAGGAGAAGCCCCTGATGAGCTTGGGGCTCCAAGGACGGATGAACTCATTGCAGGGCCTGGGGAAGTGAGGATGTTCCAGGGCCCCTCCCCGCGCCTCACCCCCATCGCAGGGCCCCTCCCCGCGCCTCACCCCCATCGCAGGGCCCCTCCCCGCGCCTCACCCCCATTGCAGGGCCCCTCCCCACACCTCACCCCATCGCAGGGCGGGGACTGCACGGAGCAGTGAGGAGGCAGAAACGGCCACGGAGGCATCTCCGTGGAGAAGTCCAGGAGATCCCGGAGTACCTGGCCTCAGGCACATGTGGGCATGACTCCACACATTGCCTGGGAGCAGAGGGGCAGGTGCATCCAGAAGAGCCTTGCCAACAGGACAGAGGTGGCGCCAGCCTCTCCCACAGCTCTGGCCAGAACCTAGATGCCACCTGAGGAGAAGCTGGTGGGGGAGGAAAGTCATGCTGAGCTACCTGAGTTGATTGGGAGCTTATAACAGGAATTACATCTATATTTAGAAAAACAAAATGAAATTTTTTGTGCATCTGAGCTCACGGCTCAAAAACATCATATCCTAAAAGGTCTGTTTTTCCGCAGCCAGCAGAGGGCACTTGGAGACAGCAAAAGGCCTGAAGAACCCGCCCTAATCCAAATACCGGGTCAGGGGGGTTTGCTTTCCCTGAAATGCAGTTCAGGGCAGGCAGTTCTGCCTCCTGGAGTCCCAACATCCTCACTGCAAATAGAGCGCTTGTTTCTGGGGTGCCCAGGAAGAAGGCCTGGCCCCTCACATTCCAGAGCCCTCCTTGGGGCCAGGAGTCTGGTGTCCCTTCTGGAGCTTGGGGGTACTCGGGGCTACTGTGCTGGGGGTGGGGTGGGAGCAGTAGGGGTGCCATGCCAGATCCCCAAGGACTCTGTAGGTGGAGGATCTTCCCGCCCGATTCTGGGTTCCTCCGTCCCACTCTCCCCCTCGAGATGTCCTGGCTCAGTCAGACTCAGTTCCATGCTGCTCTGGGCAGATGGGAGTCCACACAGCCCCAGCCTTGTGAGGGCCTCCATCTGCATAGGCAGCAGGAGGGTCATGGAGACAGAGGAGGGGACCCTCTGTTTGGGGAGCTCAGGAGCCGCCTGAGGGAAGGCAGGAGCACCATCTCAGTTCTCCGGGAGAACTGGAGGGAGGCCCTCCAGAACGAGGGAACAGCAGGTGCACAGCCTTTCATGCAAGGGAATGAATGAATCAGAGAATGAAGAGGAAAACACTTGCCCATCATCCTGCCGCACCCAGGAAGTAGGAAGGCAGTTTTAAAAAGAGCTCACAAAGCGTGCCCTGTATTAGGGTGCTTCTCGCCTTGTGAAATCAACCTGCTTCTTTCTAAGGCATCTTGTTAGAAAATGTTTGGCTTTTTTTTTCTGAAAACATCTGAAAGTGAGAGCCTTTTCTCCCTTTCTATTTCAGCCCGTAGTTCCTAAGTTCTGCAAAGCCACAGCAGAGGGACTGAATCCAGGACCGAAGGACATGTTTGCTTGGCAGTACTTGGTCGTTCACCATGCCAAATGCCAGACTTTTAGGCCGATCCTACTTTGAAGTCCTAAAGAATTGAAAACCAGCGAGAGAAATCCAGGCCTTCAGCTTAGACCAGCAGCCTCGGGGACCAGCAGCGCCG